GCTAACAAGCTCGGCGCACATTGTCGTAGCGGCAAGGACACGTAGCTGCATCTGACTAGAGCGTATCAACTTTCCAAGAACATCAAACCGCCATTCGAATGAAACTGCTTCCGGAACAGATGCGCCAGGGAGGTAGCCGTGGTCATTTTGGTGCTGGGCGTGGATATCCTCAGCTTGGCGATGGTTGCCTTGCATACAAACCTTGAGGAGTTCAGCCAAGCTTGATATCATGCAGGAAACTCCTTCTGCTGCTAATTGTGTGACTTTTTTCTCAAAAAGATGTTCCAGACAAGCTGAGGCCGTCGAAAAAAGCCGATGTTCAGTACCAAGATCTCTGAGACGTCGACCAACCCCGTTGGATCGAGGGATCGGAAGACAAAACCCCAGCTGTGCTACACAAAAAACCATCTCCGTCACATAGGCAAGGTGTACGAGAAGTTTCGGAAACGATGGTAGAGCTCCCACAAGCAGAGTCGCAAGTTCATCAAGGCGACCAAGGCTGCCATTCAAGGCTGAATCGAACTTTTTAACAAGTGATGCCTTGTCATCAGACACTCCAAGAGTGATTCCGGAGATTTCGAAACACTCATCGTCATATAACAAGTTGTCTCGCCGAGTTAATAAGTGCAGGTGGTGAAGAAAGACGCCGGAGAATAGCTCGGGTGGGCTTTCACCAGAAACCACCTGCCCAAGGCTACTGTGAAGGAGAGATATATCAATATCAACAAGAATCGCAGTGAGTTGAACGAAATCCATTTGAAAGTCGAAAACAAGCTCACGCAAGTCCGGATCCTCGTTAGGTGAAGACCTGTCGCCGTCAGCGTTTAATTCGTTTCCAGGACAGACGGTCACAGACACATACTTTCGGTCACGGACAGCAGTGATTATCTCTGGGAATGCCAACCACATATTCCGGTTGTTTCTGAGGGACGCGACAAGTCGGTTGCGATCCGAATTTTTTGCGAAGGTTAGGAATTGGGTGAACCAACGCTGTAAACTGCCAATGACATTTTCATCTGTCGATGTGCCTAGAAATTGGTCAATATTGGGATGAGGAGGTTTGAAAAAGTATAAATCAAGCTCACTAGTAGCTATGTAATGGACCAGCCGCTGTATTGTTTCGTAACGATATTCCTGCGCATCATGATAAGGGAACTGGTCGGTCGGATCAATAGCAATTGTGGTTTGCCCTATTATTGTGACTTCATCGATAGATCTTCCAGAGAGTAAATCATCTTCGGCGTCTGGTATCTGAACAAGCTCCATGGGCGGACTCGCTGACTTCGAGGAGTTTGACTTGGTGGGACCCGGGGAGTCATCCCCTTCATGGCCAACATCTTTCGAATATGGAATCGGATTCGAGGGCGAAGGTAATATATTATGGTCTTGCTCTTGTGGGGGACTCCGAAGGTTTATTGTAACTTTACTCGAGGTCGGCTCGCTGGTTGATGACGGCAGGGAAGGGGGGTCGGGTTGCTGACTGGGCATGGTTGAGTTGACCGTTTCCCCGTCAAGAATCATTAGGTTGCTAGTAGCTTCGTGGTCGCCATCAAGCGTCGCGCTGTTACCGGAGCTGGCGTTGTCGAGCTCTGCATCGGTGCCATCTACCGACCTCGAGGGTGATCCCGACTGTGAGGTCCGTCGTCGCTTGCGAGAGGCAATGTCGCTATCATCAAAAGGGTTGGGTCGAGTTGAACTGGGTTCAGAGGATCCGGCGCGCTGTAGCGGGTCTGAAGAGTCCCCTGCCTGGTCCATCTGGTTCGTGCAAGGTGTAGAAACGCGTTGCCGAAAATATCAAGGACGTCGAGGCGTCACAGTGGCCGGCCTAGCGGCAGCTGTAAGAAATTAACATGTGTAACAAACGTGAAGATGTCCGTAACATGCAGCCAGGTATGGTCAAGTGAGCTTGAGCTCTTGGACCCGTCTTACGCCATGCAGGAGGGAGGAGAATGGCGATTGAAGAGGGGAGTAAATCAATCAGAGCTACTTGCTCAAGTGAAGCTCCGAGGCAGATACGACGACTGTTGCTTTGTGCAAGCAATTGCAGACGGGGGGATTGGGGCACGGGTTGCTGCCTGTGGGACCCCGCGAGCGAGGGGTAGCTGTAGTGCGAGAGGGGGCGATCGCTGGAGAGCTTGGGAAGGCTGAGCTGCTGGCTCCAGTCCTCGCTAACGCGTAAAGTAGGTGCCCAGGGTACAGCTACGTTAGTACCTGGAGCTCCCAGCAAAAGGTCTAGTGCCTGTCCCTAGACGAGATGATGAAATGGGCAAGGTAGGGGTGTGACGGCGCCTTGCGCCAGCTCTGTGGTCGGGCATGGACGTGATAAAATGGACGGTGCCGCTTCATGGTAAATACGAGGAAACATTTCGTAAGGTGACTTACAATTACTCGAACGAAACCTTCGCTGATCGGACTCGGCCCCCTCTTCTCTCTTTCTCTATCGAGGCCTGATGCGACTTGCTCGCTGTATGTGGTAACAAATTTTGGTACCCTAACTCTTGTGGTGCGAATTCATCAGAACCAACGAGGAGGGCAAAAGAAGGGTGAGGATGAGGATGGGGGAGGGCGTTGGGGAACGACAGCTTTGTGCTTGCAGCGCCCTTGGCCAGTCACCTGGCTACGAGCCCGTGGGAAATGTGCCCTGAAGTCCAACGTGTCTAGTGCTGTTGTCAGCTAGAAGTCTTCAAGGAATCTCCAGCAGCCTCACTGCGGCATGATAGGACTTCTGTTGGTGACGAGGTGGGAAAAGTCGAGGCTGCGAAATCAATCCTGCCAACTGTACCGCGAGAAAGTGCTCCAGGCAAAGGACTGACGCCCAGGTACGGCTTCACAGGCAGGTTGCTGACCAGCGGGAAGTGAAGCGCACGGGACGAATGCTTCACGAAGCAGGAAAGTGATGAAAAAGAAAATACATTTTACTGACCATTTCCCGACCTCGAATCAAAGCCAGCCTTGGGTGAAGAGGAAACGAGTAAAGTAAGGTAGAGGACGACGCGTGGGGGTGCGCCAAGAGCGGGGAGGGGTGTAGACGCAGCAATAATTACATCAGTGTGTACCAAGCTCAGCAAAACCACCATCTACCACCTCCAAGGATGGCCGTGATTTTATACACGTCGGGGCTGTTCGGCAGATCAGTTTTAGGAGAAATGGCACGCGTAAAATCAACAGTAAAGAACCGGATGAACCTCAGAACCTCGTTGGCGAGGCGGTGGATTCGCAGTTTGGGCATGCAAGAAGAAATCTAGAGGAGTAAAAGGCAGCCAATGGAGTGGCTGCTTGAGATCTGACAAATACTAAGAATTGGCCAACAGACACACACACGGAGCAAACCTGAACCTTTGGGGCTAAGTAATAAACTGCTGGCTCTCGGATGTTACCCAGTAGCCCGCCAGCTGGCTGCTGCCTAGAGTCACCGTAGCCAGTGACACACCCGATGTCGCTCCAGATCCCTGGCAAACTAACAATTATCTGGTCGCGTTGCTCTGCATGTGAGTATCCAGGACTTGATATTCCCTCTTCCTAACGTCCATTCACCCTTTATCCAACCCGCCGAGTTTAAGGCAGAAAGAGAAAATATGAAAAATACTTCGAGCGCTGAGCACAACATCAATCAATGTGATTTTTTTCACCTTGGGTGGCAAAAAAATAAGCCTTTTTATTGCGTCCCTCTTAGCCTTGCTACTGACTTCAAGATATGGTGATATTTTCATGTAATCTAATTGATTCTAGTCAAGCAGTACATTAATTCCCATTAAGAAGCTTGGCTGCTGCTCGAACAGGTTGTTTGATGTGCTCGGAATCCCATTTCTACATAGAGCCTCGTTGTATTAGTTTGCTCAGAGTCTAGACAAGAACTGAAATAGTTGGCGATAGCAATGTGGGACGGTTCCAGGTATTACTCTCTGGGTACCTAGGTAGGTCATTGCTCTTCCCTGTGCTTTGTGTTTCTTCTGTTCGTCCTAGTCTTCCTGTGTGAACTTTGATCTTTATACCAACCGTACAAAGTATCAGCTGTCCTCAAAAAAATAACTAACATAAAAAGGTATACGTTATGCTTAAAGCTCTCATGAGGAAGATTCTATCCAACACATAAGAGAAATACTAAGCCAAATCCAAAACGCTGGCAGGGAGGCTCGGTCCGTAGTTTGAGCCACCCAGACGGCTGGAACAAAAATAGCTTATCCACAGAATGGCATTCCTAGCATAGCATACTTTGTCCAGCTCGTGATAAAGCTACTGAAAATATGGCGCCAGCAGAGTTTGCATTAATGGCGGGAAGCATCGAGTAACGCAGCAAGATACATCTCACTAATTGCCCGGGGGAGTACTAGGCGTAAGGTACTAACTCAGGTACAAGCCTACTACCTTAGATGGCTATCATTGAAGTGTCCCGTCAAGACACGTTCCGACAACTATTAACCAATCAAAACACCACCACGATATGCAGCTAAAGTAACAAGACGAGACAAACACAATTTTTTATTAGATTCCGATCATTATGGCTGTCGTTGCCAATCAAATAATACTGGTCGCAGTAACGCAAGCACCACAGTGTTGGGCCTTAGCATCCCCACTTCCCGTAGAGGTGTTCCCTGCGACTACTAATTTTAGGCGGGCTATGATGACGCAAAAGCAGAGTTAACTCAAAGTTGGGCTTTGATTATGAGGAATGGCAGCAGCGTAGGGTGTTCAAGGATCGAGGAGTAGATTTTGAACTAAGTAAGGCAAAGCGCTAACGACTGATCCAAATACAGACATACTCTATTTTTTTTTTCAGGCCCCAAATCATCTTTGAAGATATCTTTTGCACACAAACGTGATCACTGTAGGGTAGTACTTAGGCTCACGCCAGGAAGGAGGCCCACTTTACGACAGCAAAAAATCCCCCACGTCGACGCTCGTCGACGAAGTTGACTCGCATCGATCGCCCATTGCATTTTCAGCTTTGACCCCGAAACTGGAGAGCTGTATTGAACAATAGTAAGAGAAATTAGGTCGAAATGGGTCCACCTGCGCAGACCAATGTTCGGAAAAGAACCATCTATCAGCTTGATACTCCTTTCTCAACAGTCAGCTGGTATTGTTCCTCCCTCTTATCAAAGCTCCACACTCCGACCCTGCTGACCTTTCAACCGATAGGCCGGATATATCTTTAGAAGACCAAGAGAGTATCCTAGAGCTTCTCTGCAGGTGAGGATTTGGCTAATGGATATAACCCAAAAGGAAGAAAGAATGCTCACTTCTTGACGCTGACACTTTCTAGCCTGCTCTCACCCTTGGGACAGCATCGGCGTGACCACGTCAAACCCTCCAAAGGGAAGCGAGCAAGCAAACGGGAAAAAGCCACAGCGGACCAGAAAGACCTAGAAAAAGACCAACCAATACCTCGGGCACCAGAACTGGGACTTAAAGTAGACATTGGATTCAACGTGATTACCAGAAATCTTGAGGGGAGTTCAAGAGGCGAAAGCGGGCAAACTGAACATGCCGACGGCGATGTTGACATGCAAACGAATGACACCGCATATTCAATGGTCTTCGTCGCCCGAGGAGATCAGTCGTCGGCCTTTAATTGCCAGTTTCCGAGAATGGTGGCTGCGGCAACAAAGGAGCTCCCCTCCGACTCTCAGACACGACTCGTTGGATTTTCCAAGTCTTGCTCGGAGCGTCTGAGCAAATCTCTTCATATCCCCCGTGTCTCATCCATCGCAATAAAGCGCGATGCGCCTGGATGCAAAGCGCTTTGGGACTTCGTAAGAGAAAAGGTCCCCCCTGTTGATGCGGCTTGGCTTGTTAAGCCACAGGCTCAAATATCTTATCTTCCTACGCGAATCAATTCCATAGAAACGACCGTGGGGCAAAAGAAAGCAAGAAAAACTTGAACAAATATGATCTAATATAGTACATGTTTGCATATAATGGTTGGACCCGCAACTGTCCGACAGCCTTTGGACTGAGGCACTCTTTGGCTTGTAGATGGACACCTGCCCGTGTGCTGACGACTCCGATCGAGAGGAGTCTGTTGACGGATATGTAACTGCCTGGAAATGAGCTACACAATATGCCCGTCATGCTTCTGCCTGCTTGTTGTTCAGCCCCTGACTCTGGGTCAGCTTGTTTAGTTGTGTTGCAGATACTGGAAGCCTGGTCAAACTGGCAGATGCAAACCTTATGAATACAATGCACACGGAGTACCGATGCTTATTGGGCCATGTGCCCGCACACTTGGGGGCGTTTTGTTTCAGAGTGACGGGAGAGCTCATGTTCTACAAGCTCAATTGGGCAATCAGCAGCATTACTGCCACTGATGTACGGGTGAAATATCCAAGAAGATGCCGTCTTCTCTCTATTTATCAAATTCATGGCAATTTGAGATTTGCTAGGGAATAAAGTATAGCAATGTTCCTTGAATCTGATCACAGGGTTCGTGGACGAGAGGCTTCTGTAGATCCCGAACTGCCCACCCAAAGACCACCCTTGACCAGTAGAGCGCCACCACAGTGAGCAGGAAGTAGTAATATGAAAGTACCAAGATAGTATCAGTTATCAGATAGATACCAAGACACCGGATGCAAGCAAATTCGATCTGTTGGATCTTATTGCTGGTACTTGGATGAGGAAGCAGGTGCCCGTCCATGCCTCCTCCCGTCTACGACCCCTCCCGTGCGTTGGTGGCTGCCTTGCAAGTTAGTGCTCCGCTTCAGCTAAGAATATCTTGTTTAGGGAGCTCAACAGACTCTGCAGCATCCAGGCTGGCAGGCCATACGCGATTGATGGATGCCTTAGGTGTCCATGCAGAATCTCGTTCGTACCTTCCGTCCTTCCCCACGCCTCCCACCCATTTCCTCAACTGTTTACTCTTGAATGTAAACAAACGGATCACTCCATGCACTCAAACCTGCACTGAAATACCCAATTTTCGTTACTTGTTCATTGTATGCCCCGTCGACTGATCAGCAGAAACGTCTCGCAAGATTTCTCCTTGGGGCTTCGCAAGATTTCCTCTTGGGGCTTCTTTGGCTTCGTTATCAGTGGTCGTCGACGAATTTTCTCAGAACAACCTCAGAACACCCACCTTCAGGGAAAGAGTTCAAGCTATAGTTCTGCCTCATTCCTTCTTCCCGAGACTGTAATTGTGTCTAGCTGAACCGTAAGTTTCTTTCCAACTCGATTTTCCAAAACCTTGGAAGTTTCCAGGAACCGCTTCCGCATCGTTCAGAATTTCTCCCCCAAAGCAGAATTAACGTGACACTAGATATCAAGAGCACACCTAATAAGACTGATCTGAAATGAACGCTGGATTTGGTGACAAGGACAAGCTCCGAGATGCTTTGGAGCTTGCCAAGTCTTTTAGAAAGGGAGGGAAGGGTAATGACGGCCCGCCGCCCTCAAGAATGAGCAGTAGCACGTTTTCTCCGAGAAGTAGAACTTATCCTAAGAGCCCTCCCACAGAATTTTTTCTGACCAGGAATAGATACTCCTCCGCCCGTGAGGCCTGCTCCTGCGTCCCAACCAGCTGGAATCCCTTCAGTCCGAAACCGCAACTACTCTGGCCCTGGGAGCTTCTCAACACAATCTCCGAAGATGGCCCCTAGAAAGATTCCAGCTATCGACAGCTCTGCCAAGGATTTCTTGCTGCGAAAAGATGTCCCGGAGAATAAGAATGTGAATGGTAAGACAATTCTTCTGTATGATCTTTGAAAATTTATTAATTACGAGCCATAGGCTCCGCCTCTAAGCCGCAGATGAAGGAGGAACAGACGTCTGGCTCGGGCCCCCCCTCTACCCAAATTACGCAAGAGCGTCCAACCCAGAAACCGGAGATTCATGAAACCCCCGGAGGAAATCAAAATCTTGGACCTCAGTCACGCCAGTCTCCAGCTACCTCCAACCTCGCCAGTGGTGGAACAGGAACTTGCTCCAAGGATCCACCCAGTGTAAAGCATGAGAACCCGGGTCTTGCCTCGTTCTTATCTTTTGCTCCTCCTGGGGTTTTCAGTACTGCCACGCCGGCTGCTAGCTCTCATTCAAACGAAGCGAAGAAATCAGCCGCCAATAATGCTACAAGCGCCCAGACACCTGCTCTCATCAAAATAAAAGAGATCGCACGTCCCTCACAGGTGGAAGCTGCTGCAGTAGCCCAGACTTCTCAATTGACTCAGAAGAACCTCGAGGCAGTGACGCCTGGTAAGAGTGGTCAAAAGGAAAATGGCCAGGTGGGAATGAATGGCAAGTCACCCCAGCCAGTTAGACCTGTTGATGGAAATCCATCTTCTGCATCGCAGAACAATAAAGCACCCGAGGCTCGAAGTAACAAGACTGCACCTACACCAAAGACGGTTCTCGAGCCAAAAGAGGCTTTGAAAGAAGCAAGGCAACCAACACCCACCGTCAAGCCCACGCCAGCACCCGCCGCTGCTTCTGAAGTGCCCAAGAACGAGAAGCCCGTACAAAAGAAGGAGCCAGAAAAGCCATCCACCCCAGCCCAGGAAAGCCCGATGGCAGAGTTGAAGCGTCTCGTCCGGGAAACAGTTGATGCCAAACGTGAAGCGGAGGATGAGGCTCGTCGCGTCAGGCTAGAGGCTGCCGAGAAGCAAAAGGCTGAAGAAAACCGAAACGCCAATGCTTACCTCAAGCTAACAGGGCCCTCAGACGGGACAAAACAGCCAACACCCAGTGTTGAGCCAGCACTCAAGACTGCTCTCAAGACTGCTCCTGAGCCAAACAAGCCCTCAGGGGGAGAAAACCAACCAAAGCCCATTGCTGAGACAGTCTTTAAACAAGCTCACGAGCCTGTTGCTGCTTTGAAATCCTTGCCTAATGGTTATGTCAAAGAGCAGCCGCTTGACGACAAACCCTCTGAGACTTCGTCTCTCCGGCCCCAGGCTGAATACTTCAGCCCCCATCCCGATTTTGTCCCTGTTCCTCACAACTCCCCTCAGCCCATGCTTGAACTCCACTCGCCCCGCCTCATGAGTCCTGTCAATGCCACTGCTATCAGCATGGACAACTTGCAGCAATTCATACCCACGGGTGTTACCACGGGGCAGCTGGTTACTACGACTCAGGTGTCTGTGGTCGGTGGCAGGATGACACCTGGAGAGTGTAGAGGCACTTTGTACATGCGGACTCCGGTCAGCATCCAGCATGGAGCCCCTCAGCCTCAGGGTGGTCCTGTCCCTGCGTCCCGAGCATCTTCACAGGAAGCTCGCCCTCATATTCAGTTGAAGCCTACACAGGGCCTTGCTTCATCTCGCTGGAACAATCAGTAATTGAAACGCCACAAGTCCTCTTAAACAGAAAGACGTCTGGTGATTAGGTGATGTTGCGAAGGTTGAGATGAAAGCAAAAGGGAAGGGACATGTGAAACTCAAAACTGCGAGTGATATTTCTGAGATCCTTGGGCAATATGGAAACTCAATAATTCTACGATATTGCACGAGTTGTTCAAGATTTAGCTCTGAACGGAAGACTGCAACAGCTTGATCTGCTTCGCCGAGAAAAGGGTTGCACTTACTAGGGCAAACTTCTTTGATGTAAAATCCGACAGGATGGAAATTTTGGTGTTGGTGGAAGTATAGCGGTGCCATCCGCATTGAACTTCTTCAGCAAGTATCCACAAGAAAATGAGAAACGAGGATGATTAATTAGATCGTGTTAATTGTAAAATAGGTAGAATATATAATTTTTCTACCCAGACATGCCCTTCTCAAGTAATTTGACGCCTTCCCTTACCTTGGGCGAATAGTGTTTCCTCAACAACTCGCCCTCCCAGACTGTTGCAGCAAAGGGGTTGCTTCCATCCACATCGATGCTCAGTGCGTTGTACTTCCCATCACCCTTTCTCTCTTCGGTGTTCCACAAACTATTAACCTTCTTGCTATGTGCATGTGCAACATCACCCAACAAGGCGAGTACGCCCTGCGCAGACTTGTCGGGAATATGCAGCAGCATGGTCATGAGTTGTTTGGTGAAGGCGGCCAAACGGACCGGGGGAACGGAGCGGATGTTGTAGCTGGGGAGGAGGATGGCCGTGAGAGAACGGAGAAGGAGAACGGTTGTTGTCTGGACGTTGATTTTGTTGACGCTCTGGGATACGACGGAGCGTTTCGTGAGCTCGAGGTCTGGATCAATGGAGAGGGAAAGGAGGGCGTTGTATAGATGGCTGGTGAAGAAGGACAGGTCCAGATGGAGTTGGTTGCGGGAGTTGTGGGCATCCTGGCCTGCGAGGAGCGCAAATGCCGTGACTGTACAGAGGAGGGCTTCGCGGGTGAGATTTCTCACCGCTGTCGTGCTGTCATCGTCGTCGTCGTCGGCCTCTTCCTCGTCGTCCTTATTCTCTACGTCGTCGTTGCCAGCCTCGAGATCGCTGTCGCTGTACCGGATCAAATCCTTGAGCGCTTCCAGAAGATCACCGAAGAAGTCCTGGTTGATGAGATGAGCATACTTGGCCAGACCTTCTAGGACGGCGCCCATTAGGTGCGGCATCCTGAACTTGAGGATGCGGAAGTAGCTTGCGAACACGAGCTTGAGGGTTTCGGACTGCATGCGTTCGCGCTCCTCGTGGTCGACGAGTGCATCTGCTTGGCTCATCTCTTTCTCGAGTTCCTTCTGCTTCTTGATATCCTTGCGCTCACGCTTGGTGCGGAACTCTCGCTTGGGCTTCTTTATTGTCGTTGAAGAGCGCTCGACCGCATCGTATGACGCTTTGCCGGAGAATTCAGACAGCAAGCGAAGGCTGAGGAAGAGATTCACCACGCTTTCGTGGACTTGGAAATCACGGGCTTTCATCATCTTGGAGATCATTGCCATGGCTTCCATGGAAGCCCGTCCCTCTTCGTCGTCGCGGAACAGAGTGTCGAGTGTTTCGATGCACTTCTGTCCAGAGCTGTCGATATTTCTTCTACTAATCTTGGCGACAATGATCTTCAGCAAGTCTCCACGGAAGTTGAAGTGAGGCACCGACACCAGTAACGTGCAGGCACATGTGATGGCCACATTGTTGAGATTTTTCATTGCCCCCGTGCTGTAGGGCAGCTTTGCGCATCTTGTCAGTTCCTTGAGGTAACCCTGGTAACCTGTGAGAAGAGACTGCTCGTACTGCCGCAGCTGGCGGACCTCCTTGGACAGCTTCTCCTTTGACGACTCCTCCGAAAGCGGGCGTATGCGGTAGCCTGGGATGACGTCCTTGTAGACCGCCATTTGGGTCATGAGGGTGAGAATCTGTATTGCGACGATCTTGGACTGGCCGATCCGGGCCAAGGCTTTGAAGGCGCCGACGTTGTCCTCGGGATTCTCATTGACGGCAGTAGCAAGCTTGGCCAATTCCTCCTGAGCTTCCAAGATCTGTTCCTGCTCAGACTTTTCCGGTTCTGCTTCCTCCTCAGCCTCTTCGGGCTCAAATTCGGGCTCATCTTCCTCGCGGCCCTCTAGCCACTCGGTGTCGCTCTCAACCGAAACGTCGTCCTCCTCCTCTTCAATCCCGCTCAGGAGCTCCAGGCGTCCATCGGCAGTTTTGATGGGCAGTCTTGTACTGGGCTTCTTTTCATTGTTCTTCTTCCCTTTTCTTGGCCGCGACTCGTAGTCCTGTTCAAGGTTCCAGCTAGCTGCGTTCTTGAAAAAGGCTTTCTGCGCTTGTTTTGAGGGTGCTGATGAGTCCTGGGAGGGTGACTCATGAGAGAGCTTTCTCCGCTTGGAGCCGCCGGAAGCCATTTCAGCAATTCGACTTTCTAATACACCTCTTGTGGCTACTGAATTATGAATCTACCGCAAGATCAGTCGCAAGACGACGCTGATGAAAAAAGGTTGGCGATAAGATTAGGAGGTCCGCTGGCCAATGAGAGCGGCGGATTCCACCCTCACCGCCAAAATTTTAGGACTTTTCTGCCGCTGTCAAGGTTACTAAACTTTTTTTTTCTTCGATACGAAGACTGCCCCTCCAGCATTGCTAGCTAAAAGCTACGTGGTCGTCTTTCTCTACATTAATTCCTTTCACGCCAATTGAATTCCCACTCCGGTTTTTCTGTGGTTGATTCAGCCGGTCTTCAAGATGGGGTTCACCAAACCTCCAACGCAGGCTCTCAAGTCTGTTAACAAGATGAAGAGAAAGGATATGTTTATCCAGCACAAAAAGTTCGCTGGCAAGGAGCGCCGCGAAGCCCGCCACCAGCGCAGGAAGGAGGAGAGCCGGGACCCGAGTTTGAAAGAAGAGCGCCTGGCGAAACGAAAAACCGTGACCCTTGACGAAAAACGTGTGTGGGACGAAGGCGACGACGATAGCCTGGGTGCTCAGGTGGACTTGGTGAGACTGAAGCGTCGACGATTGGAAGAGGCCGAGGCCGAGGAACAGAGAGCTCTCGATGAAGATATGAAAGATGATGAAGACGACGAGGAGAACGATAGTATGCTGGGTTCAGATGACGATGAGGATGATGAGGAAAACGATAAGTTGCTGGAGCGGATAAGAGAGAAGAGATCGCAAAGAGACAGCAGCATGGCCCCCTCCATGGCCAGCACGAATCTCGACCTCGCGCCTAGTTCTCTTACTCTCAAGTTCCCAACACTGTTCTCCGACATCCCTCCGCCTCCGCCCAAGATCTTGTTGACAACATCCCTCAACTCTACACTCCACGACGAAGCGCGATTGCTTTGCACACTTTTCCCCAATACGTCATATACCCCCCGATCCTCCCACCGATACGGACACAAGTACTCCCTCCGTGAGATTTGCAAATTCGCTACGAACAGGGAGTACACAGCTGTTATTCTGTTGAGAGAGGACTCGAAGAAGCCTACTGGGCTGTCCATTGTTCATCTCCCGGTTGGCCCAACTTTTCACTTTACGATATCCAACTGGATCGAGGGAGCCAAGCTCCCTGGCCACGGAAATCCGACAAACCACTACCCGGAACTGCTTTTGACCAACTTCAAGACGCCTCTCGGTCTGCTGACAGCGAAGCTTTTCCAGTCCATGTTCCCACCACAGCCCGAGTTCCAGGGTAGACAGGTGGTAACGCTGCACAATCAGCGCGACTACATCTTCGTGCGACGGCACCGCTACGTGTTCCGCGACAAGCGGCAGACGGAGAAGAGCATCGCAGGAGCAGACGGCAAGAACCTCAAGGGGGTGGAGAACATCCGAGCTGGTCTCCAGGAGCTGGGCCCTCGGTTTACGCTGAAGCTGAGGAGAGTGGACAAGGGGATCGGACGTGCAGGCAGCGAGGGCGACGATGCGACCCAGTGGGAGTGGAAGGCCAAGATGGAAAAGGACAGGAAGCGCTTCAACTTGTAATTAGACATTCATGTATGGCGTCGGCATGGCGTCGATGGGTAAACAATAAAACTGTTCTTCCGGCATTAGTTTGCGGTTGTTGATACCAATAGGCATGCTCACAACCGGCCAGCCCCCTCCACGCTCAAGGGGCTGTCTCCCATGCCGCCAAGCTGCAATGGCTGGCTGAAATTACTAGTTACAAAAGGCGCGCATTTAGCCTGAATCTGACTGCTCAACGACACTATGGCCTCCTGGCCCGTACTGACGTGAATTAGCTGTGAAATTTTCGCGCAGTAAAATGCCACTTCGCCGTAGCGCCGATCAAGCCCTGCAGCCCTTTTTCAGAGGGGTGCGATGGGACCGTAGCGGGGCCGCGATGGCGGCGAATCACTATCTTATCCTGCTAGAATTTCGCTACGCTATGGCCGTCGTCCGCCGTCTTGGAACATTGGCGGGAGAGGCCAATTCCCCGCTATTAGATTGCGGGAAACGAGAGTCATTTCAGCTCGTCTCGTTCTTAATTGTCTTGGTCGCCCGGGTCCTTGAGATCGCTACCAGACTCTATAAAACCTCCTTGTGGTGTTCTGCATCGGCGCATTAAACACTCGTTTGAATCGCATTAGTTTCAGCATCATCAGCGCATCATCTCCGAGCGACAATTACTTGGTTCCCTTCGTTTGCCTGTTCGTGAAGTTTTTTCCTGGTTCTAGTCTTCGGGCGATTGTCCATTTGAGCGCAAGTCACGTCACCGAAACCAGGGAGACCAGGGGTTGGCGACAGACCTACTTTTTGGAGGGGGAGAAGGAGGAGAGATTTTGGTTCCAGGTCCAGTTCCAGATCCCGGTCCAGGTCTGGGAGGGTCATCACACGGGCAGTCAAGTCAAATCAGTTGTCGCATCGTTTCGCAGTTGCAATCGGCAGACACAATTCTCTCCCCGTGAACTGCTGCTCGCTGCTGGCATGTTCTGCTCAACCGTCTTGGAGCGATAGAAACGAACCGACTTTGCGCCCTCTTCCCAAGCGCTGCCTTTATAGGAACGGCGCTGAGCGCGCACTCTGTCTGTTGGCGCTGTGGTGAACTCATCGTCACCAACCATTAGTAATGACCGCATCAGACTGTATGTCACGACACTGGACAACTCTCTTCCTCACTCACGCAGAACTTGTTTACTCATTCGCTTTCTCTCTTTTCCCCACTTGGCAGGTAAAATGAACGGCAATGGCTGTCACCACCAAGATCCCGAAGTGTGGAAGAGAGCCCCGATACTGACGGGATCCACCAACTTCGAACCCCGTCCGGATGTCAAGAACATCATGGTCACCGGGGGTGCAGGGTTCATGTGAGTCAAGAGCCACCCGTCTGATACGCTGGAAACGGCCAAGACCTGCGGGAGTTGCTGCTAACCTGCGTCGGAAGAGCATGCTGGCTGGTACGGCATCTTGTGCTCAACTACTCCCAGGCGTACAACATAGTCTCCTTTGACAAGCTGGACTACTGCGCGGCCCTCAACAATACCAGGATCCTAGATAATGAACCCAACTTCTCCTTCTACAAGGGGGACATCACGCACCCGAACGAGGTGCTGGACTGCATGGAGCAGCACAACGTTGATACGGTGTTGCATTTTGCCGCGCAGTCTCATGTCGATCTGAGTTTCGGCAACTCGTATGGATTTACTCATACGAACGTCTACGGCACGCACGTGCTGCTCGAGAGTGCCAAGAAGGTTGGCATCAAGCGTTTCATCCATATCTCGACGGATGAGGTGTACGGAGAGGTCAAGGAGGACGAGGACGACCTGCTCGAATCTAGCATCCTGGCACCTACCAACCCTTACGCAGCCAGTAAGGCGGCCGCCGAGATGCTGGTACAGTCGTATCAGAAGAGCTTCAACTTACCCATCATCATTGTGCGGAGCAATAATGTCTACGGCCCTCATCAGTACCCTGAGAGTAAGCTGCATTCTGCCACTTTTTCCTCGCCCTCTCCACATCTACACCCACACCCCGCGTTCTTGGGCTGGCAAGGCCCTTTTCTGACTGATGTTGTTTAGAAATCATACCCAAGTTCACCTGCTTGCTGAATAGAGGCCAGCCCGTAGTGCTCCACGGAGACGGCAGGCCAACCAGACGATACCTATTCGCTGGCGACGCCGCGGATGCCTTCGACACTATCCTGCACAAGGGTCACATCGGCCAAATTTACAATGTGGGCTCCCACGACGAGGTGTCCAACCTGGACCTCTGCGGCATGATCCTGTCGGCCATGGCCATCGACCACGCAACGCCAGAGCAGTGGCGGCGGTGGGTCAAGTACACCCATGACCGCCCTTACAACGATCGACGGTACGCCGTCGACGGGTCCAAGCTGAAGAAGCTCGGCTGGACGCAGAAGACCAACATCAAGGAGGGGCTCGCCATGACGGTCGGGTGGTACAGGGAGTTTGGGGAGTCGTGGTGGGGGGACATTGGGCACGTCCTGACGCCCTTCCCCGTCGTCAGCGAGGACGGGGAGGTGGTGCCCGACTTCGACCACCTGATCCGCGACGAGCCCCCGACCCCGCCCAGGGAAGCCTATGACGAGAATATGCAGCACCGGCCGGAGAATGGCCGCGGGGATGGGCACTGATCTCCAATCCTCTCTGGCGATCTATCGTTTCCCGGCGGTGCCGCCTTTGCGTAGCTCGCGGGGGGGTGTCAATACTCTTTGACTCTTTGTCGTCTCTTCGCTATATCGAAGAGTAACTGAATTCTCGTCGTTGTTGTTTATGTTCCATCACCCCCCCTTTATGGGTTACAAACGAACAGGAGGTATACAATCCTTCAGGGTCAGTGTTTAGAAGCGACGTGTTCACGCGGATCGGGCCGGGTAGTTTCATGGAGGGGCCCCGCGTGCGAATAGAAGCGCAGAGCGTGTATGCGAGTTGCATAAACTTCCCAGCTCGGGGCTCTCTTTTCCAGGGTTGTTTTCTTTCCTTTGACTTTTTCGATAGAATGGGGGGTCTTTTTTCTTCTTTACAACGTCATCCCACTTATACATGTTCCGTTTCGAGCCCATTCCTACGGAGAAAGCCGAAGAGGCATCCCAATTAGAGACAGGAACGGCAGGGGGGAGTGACAGAGACGCATGTCTAGTGTGTATACTTTTTTACTATATACGTGACTGGCAGACCGGATTTTTTCCGCGCTGGGAGGAGGAGACCAAATATAGAGCACACATATTTTTTTTTTTTTGACATTTCAAGGGTTAGGGTAGCATCGAATATTGTTTATCCGTAATCCAATGACGTCTGAAGATCCCGGGGCGCGGTAGCGAACGGTCGGTGTCGACTGCGCCGATGCAAGGTGATTTTGGTGATATTGATATTGGAGCTTGGAGGGGGGGCTTGTCTCTACATGGCACAAGCGTCCTTACCAACCTATGCAGCGTAGCATCCGGAGGGCGAGGCCGGCATGTTGCATTGCAGCAATCGGGGACGAAACCCACCCACCCTGGCCACCGGTCGCTGTCCACCAGGCAGCAGGAAAACCAGGGTTTGGTGGTGGGATGGTTGCTCCGATCGCTGTCTCCCTCCTGGCCCTGGGCTTGGAGAAGCGCGGCGGCGTTAGTCGGGCTTCTAGCCTGGCTCCCCGGGATTGGAAGGGCCGCATGGCAAATCTCTGCCATGAGACGTATAATTCGGACGTGTACAGATGGAGAGATGGCGTGTAAGAGCTAGACGGAGAAGAGGGAGAGGCAGAGGCAGAGGCTATGGATAGGATGGCAACTTGGCTGCAGAAGGATCCCCCCAAGATACGTCCTCCCTGCCCACTCGTACCGTATGCAGCCACACTATTGTAGATAGATCGTGGTATTGGACTCCTTCTGACGCATGTCAATTAGGCGATGCCGAACGAAACGCTATGACGACGGGAGGGAAAAAGAAACGAAAACCCCAGCCGTTTCAACCAATTTCCAACTCGTCGGGATCTTAGTCTACCCCGAGCATATCACAAGAAGGAATAATAGAGGAGATAGAAAGGCTAAAGCACGTTTTACTATGTAAGACATCCGAGGCATTGCGTACGACCTACCTATTCTGTCGAGGGGCATCGTGATAGGAAACCCAGCCAAAGAGCAAACGTTCAAGGCCGTGTGTGTCTTTTCAACCTTCCCTTCCAACTCGCCCTGCAGAGATACTGCAGAGATACGGATGCAGACATGGCTGCAGCACGCAGACGCACCAATGTGTACACGCACATGGAGGCGACTCCATCTGCACATACTAATTTTACCAGGGCCGTACGTTTTCCAAGCCCAACAGTCGTTGAACATGTGGCACGGGTTTCGTGGCCGGATCCTGAACCAGAGGCACGGAGTGGCAGAAGCGAGGCCGACATCGTGCATTTCGTATAGCGGCGATGGCGTTCTGCCTGCAGGCAAGGCTCAGCACGCACCCGTTTTTGGCCTCTGTAGGTGGATGCAATGAGTGCACACGTTGCAGATTCTGGAACCAACAGAGAGGAACATGCTCTCATTGGTTTGGAATCTGACCAGTACCAACACTCTGTAAGCTCGTTGTGCATGCGTCGTCGCGAGACGACGCCCCAGATATTCCCACACTTTGACGTGTGAACACACACACCGCATGGGGGGTCTCGAGTCATGCGATACGGATAATCAGCGGCTTTTATCGAGGGGTTCTAAATAGGTATTAAACAGCAGAGCTGGGGGAGTTGAAGAATAGGGGGTCCGTATCCACAGTCCACGATGGGAGAGTCGGGAAGTGATTATTGGCCTTGGCGGAACACATTTTCCTGTCGCTGCACCTTCTTCCCTCTCTCTCCAATCTGACGGATCATAATAAAGCCTCAAGCCCTAGAGGCCAATCGGGGATATTCACCCGTCTCCCGCAATGGGGATTAGGAGCAGCCAGGTACACACAGGCCATCGGTGCATACTGTAGGGCATGGGTGGCCCAGGGTCAATGATTGTGGATGTCGCTGCGTTGCTCAACTGCCTATGTTGTCTCTCTCCCATGTAGAGACAGGCAAGGGGGATGAGGATGGCCCATGGATACCTAAGCAGAAGAGAATGCTAGAGGCGCGCGGGAAGTGACGAGAGAGAGGTGACGAGGCGATTTTATTGGTACAGCCGTGGACGAGAGCTGCAATGACAGCTTTGGCAGCATGTAGAAAAAGAAAAGAAAGACTCCAACGGTAGCCGATCAAGCCTATTCTGTGCCACGATTATGCACAAGGGACCCCCTTTCAGAAAGGTGAGCAACGCCAGTGACGGAATAACGGAGTTCTGACGATACTCCTGCATGCAGACCTACCTGTTGGGTCATCCCATGCATGCAAGAGCTGGCATTCCCTTTCCTCCCCTTTGAAGAGTCTCCCACTTCCTTCGTCTAGCGCACCCTTGCTGTAATTCTGGTAGGAGTGGGGGTAGTTGGCTGCTCTTGACAGCTAGAGCCCGAGCTACGAGCAGTCAATCTCGCTACTCGGTGTCTGAGCGAGCTCCTGAGCAAACCAACCTAATTACCCAGGTGAACCGGTAGGGCAGCTCGGCACCGAGCCTCAGCAAGGTGAGAGCAGAATCGTGCCTCTGGCGGTATTTGCCCCTCCATTCTCATCTCTTCTTCTTTGCCTGCGCCAGGGGTGTCACTGGCCATGTCTCTGTTTCGGGCGGGAAGCAACCGTTGCGACAGGTGGGTTCATTGGATTGCCATTCCCCGTCCCAAGACCAAGGCTCAGGCTCAGGCTCAGGCGCAGGCCCATGCCTGACAGGGAGACCAGCGGGCAGGGAGGGAGGTGCCAGGTTCTCGGAGCGCATGGACTCGCTTCCACTGAGCTGTTGGTGACTCCCGCCGCGCCGCCCAAGCGCTGCAGCCCGTGCATTGACTGGGAAAACGCTAAGCAAAGTTCCCTGCGCGGCGATACCAAAGAATGCCCACCTTTGCCTTGGCTCGCCCATTCTCCCGCGTCTGTGCCTGCGCAGTGGCCAGAGCCCATCAGTCGCTGGCCGCGGGACGACAGGCTGCCCGTGCCGTTCCCTTGTCCGGCCGGCATCATCGCCTGGCCTGGCCTGGCCTGTCGAGGGCTTGGACGCGGAGATGATCGCCAAAGCGGCTTAGGCACTGCGGCCGCTCTGGGCTAGGGCAATTACTGTGGGTTCAGCAGACTGGCAGAGCCCGTTGGCTGCCGTTTCAATCATTGCGTAAACCCCCCGATGCCCACTTCTCTGCCCTTGCTTAGCGGGTGCGCAGCTCTGGCGAGAGCCCAGATTGGCTACCGCCAAAAGGGTTCTAGTGAACCCAATGCGCTGAACTTGTTCCCCGCCAACCCAAAGCACAGCGACCCGTCACATCCCATGTCCCTGATTGCCAGATGGAGCAAGCGTCCTGCTAGTCTTGCCTCGCTACGGCTCCAACGTGCTGCTGCCATTTCTTCGCATCCTTCCTTTCATTCTATGGCCAGAATCCTCCAGCCAGACACACCTCGCTTCTCCTTCATTTTCTGGGCGCGCCCTTTTGTTTTTGCTTCTAATTTATATAGTGCTTTCCTCTGACGCACTGGCCAGCTGTTGAGCTTCTTGGATTCCGGCACCCGTTCGCTTCTCACCAAACCTATCGCGATTGCGCTGGAGGCCAACTGCATTCCCAGCAAAATATTTGGATCGCCAACTCCTTCGGTGTAACTCGACTAGTGCTTTTAACCTCCAGGACAGTCGCCGGACAAACGGGCCATATATATTTACATGTAAATATATCACGTATTTATATGTAGATATCCTGCGGCCCGGCCATGCCATTGGCTCTCTAGCTCCCCGATCCCGCCGCCAGCCGCAACATCCTCATGTCTAAAAGGCGACGACCAAAGAAGCGGTCTCCTATGCAGCAACAACGCCCCGTATCGCCTCCGCCGCCTCCCGCTCAGGAACCCGTGATAGAGAATAGATACCGTCCGGATCGCAGTAGCGGGTTATCCAGTGAGGAAGGGACCGCCAGTGAGCTGGCCAGCGATGGCGTTCTTACAGCCATGACCAGCCTGCCGGCAAGTGAAGACGGTCTGGTCACATCGTCGGGGGTCCCAAGTGCCCAGAGTTTTGGCAATGATGATGAGGACACAGACCTCCAATCGGTGTACATTGGGAGCATGTACCCCCAGGTTCCGGCCATGTTCCGAGCAGAACTGCCGTATGTCGGTGCCGAGTCGCATACGGTGAATGATGATATGTGAGCGAAAACATTATTCTGTATTTCCAAAGTTATATGTCACTGATGGGTGAGAAAGAGCCGCTTCTACAAGATCTTTATGGGCCCAGGACCTCGACTATAGGGAAATGCACGGGCGACTGTATTGTAGGGAATTTTACCAGCCGATAGACGACCTGGAGCAGATGAGATGGTCACTTATACACCATGTCTTTCAGCATGTCCTCGGTGGTGAACTCACCACGATCCCTCTCGACAATCCAAAGCATATCCTGGACGTCGGCACTGGGACTGGGGAATGGGCGATAAAGATGGCTGAGCTATTCCCACAATGCGAAGTGATGGGCACCGATATCGCTGCCATCGCTGAGACGCAGAGTATCCCCATGAATGTCTTTTTCGAAATCGAGGATGCGGAGGATTGGGACAGGAGCACCAACCTCTACGACATGATCCACCTGCGTTCTATGGATGGCGCATTCAAGGATTGGAGATATATCTACGACCACGCCTTTGCCTCGCTTAAGCCTGGTGGATGGATCGAAGTGCTGGATGTCGACGGGGATGTAGCGGATGCCTTCCCCGCGGATTCGACCTTTAGGTTAATGTGCAGAGAACTTGATATCGCAGCCGAAAAATCCGGGCGGAGACGAGGGATACACCATCTGAACCCGGACTTGCTGATGGAGGCAGGTTTCGTCGAAGTCGGGAGGACGGAGTACTCACTTCCCATACATGTGGCAGAGGAGTCGGCAGGAAAGATCTGGCTGATTTCATGTCTGGATGCGATGGAAGCATGCTGTCTGCGACTGCTAACAGAGCAGCTGGGCTGGGATCCAGACAAGTGCAAAGCGGCATGCGAAGTCGCTGCGAGGGAGATTGCGGACATGGCCAAGGACCCCGAGACATCCAGAAACCTGGTTGTGAAAATGTGCGTCCTGGTTGGAAGGAAACCTTTGGATGCCCTTCCCGGAAGCCCTAGATCGTTCGAGATGCCCAGATCTCCAACCCAATGGAGGTCATCAACCTGGATTAATGATGACGAATACCGATATTACACGAACCCAACGCGAACAGAGGACGGAGAAACCATTCGAGACGAAGACGAGGTCGAGGACCAAGAGAGTGAGTCTCTGACTTCGTAAGACACACCTACACACACGCGCACACATTATTCTTGCCCATATTCTTGTATATATGTACATATTCATCCAACATTCTGGAAGCGGAAGGGCTGGGAACCGACGATGCGATCCCTCCCTTGCTATTCATTGCTTTTACTTTGGGGGCCCGGTGGGCTGTTGCTTTTGCAGCCATAGAAGCCCCCGCTGCATTATAGAGCGTGCACGGTGTTTATTCTTTTTCGCCCTCAAAGTTGAGTATGCTTGCTCATCATTCACGACTTGCGGTTACGACAAGATTGGGCTGGGACATGGTGCTATTCTAAAAGGGTAGTATTTATTATTATTAGTATCAAGTACACACGCGGGGTGACCCGAAATTTATATGTATATACCTATGGAAAAAATATTCTAAAATCCAACCGCGAAGGCTCGGGCATGTGAGAGAATGCGTAATAAGTGCCAGGCAGCCAGCATGAGCTAGAACATGTAATTAGTAGAGAATGCATGTACTGTACACCGAAAAGTTGATGGTGTACCCGGTGAAGCTAAAAGGAAGTGGGTACCTTGAATAGGTGCCTGAGCTGTGGGTGTTGCCTGTAGCGGTGCTTGACACATGACGTCCGTTGGGGGCCCATTCCCATCACCTCTTCCGAGCTCCCAACCTCCCGTTGCGACCTTACAATTCCCAAGTCTCGACCCCCACGGCTACTGCGCATAGCCTACGACCAGCTTGATCTCGACCAAGGAACAGAAAGAGAGTGTTCCGGCAACTCCCCGCGGAGCATGAGGCTCTGAGATCTCCCAATGGCTCTCAGCGATGCGTTCGGCTCTGGCAATGGTGTACCCGACTTGGACGACCTGCCCATCTTCTCCGTCGAGCCCGTGCAGCTGGCCTTCTCCATCGCAGCGGATTTCGTGGCCGCCCAGGTTGCCAACAATGTCATCATCCTGGCCCTGTCGAACGGGCGCATCCTACGAATCGACCTGAACCGCCCTGAGGATATCGATGGTGAGAGCATTGGCAGGCCGAACCTAGCTGTCTTGGGAGGCGACTAACATCTAGGGTTATGCAGATATCGACTTGCCCAAGAAGAACTCCGATGTTGGCACGATCCGGCGCATGTTTCTCGACCCGACGGCATCACACCTGCTCATCTGCACCTCTGCAGGGGAGAACTACTACCTACACTCCCAGTCCAGGCAACCACGTCCTCTCAGTAGATTGCGCGGCGTGGCTATCGAGAGTGTCGCCTGGAACCCTTCACTGCCGACCGCGTCAACGAGGGAGATCCTGCTGGGTGCCGCGGATGGGAACATCTACGAGGCCTCCATCGAGACGTCCAACGAGTTCTACAAGAAGGAGGTGAAGCATTTGAAGAACCTGCACAAGCTCCCGGATGGGCCCATCACTGGACTGTGGGTGGACAGCCTGGGGGGAAAGCAGGACATGCGAAGGGTTGTCATTGCTACACAGAGCCGGCTGTTCCACCTCACTGGCAGGATTGGCTTCACTCATGACGGTAGCGGGTCTGTTTACACGAAACTGTTCGAGTCGGAGCAGCCGATCGTGCACGAGTTGACGCGGACTGTCCAGGGCGCGCACTCAGCCTTTGCAGTGTCCCCGGACCACGAAGACAGCAACCCTCATGATGAAGGTGCCCCCGATCGCGCCTTTGCTTGGCTCACATCCCAGGGTGTGTTCCATGGCAAGCTACTCAACTTCCCTACCGACAGTAACCTCGGTACCAAGGTATTCTCCGAATCGAAGATGCTCACGAGGTCTCAGATTACCTCTGCCGAAGGAAAAGGAAGACGAAAAGTAGCCTCGGAGATGATTGAAGACATTCTCCTTACGCAGTGGCACATTGCTAGTCTTATCGGTGGGCGCGTCGTGATCACGAACCGCCTTACGGGGGAGCTGGTGTCTGAGCATGATGTTCTTGGCCCGGGCCAAAAGTCCATTGGCTTCTCCGTTGACCTGCAGAAGAACACATTCTGGCTGTTCTCATCTACTGAGATATTTGAAATAGCCGTAAGAGACGAGGACCGACACATTTGGGAGATCATGATGAAGACACAGCAGTTTGAGACTGCGTTACTTCACGCCTCTACTCGGACACAGAAAGAGACCGTGGCTGCCGCCTACGGAGACCACTTAGCTTCCAAGGGTCACTGGAACGAAGCAGCCACTGTGTACGGCCGTAGCAACAAGCCGTTTGAGGATATTGCGCTGAGTCTCATAGACAACAACCAACCAGATGCCTTGCGACAGTTCCTCCTGACGAGGCTGGCGACGACCAAGAAAGCCGCAATCATGCAGCGCATCATGCTTGCCAGCTGGCTCGTGGAGGTTTTCATGGCAAAGCTGAACTCTCTTGATGATACCATAGTCACGCAGGCTGAGCTTTCGGAGGACCTGAATCCCACGGAATCTCGGAAGTTACTGGGTTCTGTTCGGAAGGAGTATCATGACTTTGTCAACAAGTATAAAAATGATTTGGACCGGAAGACCGTGTACGATGTCATCAGCAGTCATGGGAGGGAGGGCGAGCTCCTTTACTTTGCCACTGCTGTCGACGATTATAACTACGTTCTCTCTTACTGGGTACAGAGAGAAAGATGGACCGAAGTTCTCAACGTGCTCAAGAAGCAGACCGACCCTGATGTATTCTACCGCTATAGCAGCGTGTTGATGACACACACCCCTCAGGAGACAGTCGAGATCCTCATG